AAACGTCATTCGTGAACTCAAAATGACCGACTTGTTTACAATTTCGCTTCGGCTACTTCGTTCCGTCGTTCGGTTGTTTCTCCCTCTTATTTACTTATATTGGAATAGATTTGATAGACTTTTTATCGTTAGTGAAGAAATTAACTGGTGCATCTTCTAATATGAACAAAACAAGCGCGCCCATGGAGCGTATTCAAGCTTTGGATGCCATTGAGAAAGATATCATCACCTGTCTTCAAGCTGCAGGTATGTTTAGTTTTGAAATATTTTTCAATACTACTTTAGGAAGACGTTTGTAACAAAAACAGGTTACTCCTCATGTTTGCCACCACTGGCATCCAAAGCAACTCACCAGAACATCACTGATTAAATTTGCAGTTTACGCACTTTTCCAAATTATGAATGAATTGTTTTCAACCAAGGTTTTTTAAGCTTCTAATGAGTCAAGAAGGACGATTCAACTTGCGGAAAGAAGAAAATCACGTGTTTTTAACTTTTTTGTAAAAAATAAATATCGTCGTTTTGCTCCGTTTCCACGCGTAGGATGGACAAATTACTGTGGGTCGCGCTACCCTTTGGTGGTTGCGCAGCGCTTTGGGTGGTCAACTACGGAACGAATGTTTCGATAGGTGTCAATTTCTGCGGGCTATTTGAATTTTGCGTGTTTGGGTTTTTCTGTTGGTGTGAATTGGTGCTGAAAAATTGTTTGAAATTTATTTTTTAAAGTGGAAAACACTTACTTCAGAACCGTAATCCCTACCTAAACGCAATATCCACAAGCCTGAGTAGCCCAACCTAAGGCAATACTCGGGTAAGTTAGGTTAGATTAGGTAAGGTTAGGTTAAATTAGTCTAAATTTCTAAATAAGCTGAAATTCTGAAAAAAAAAATCGAATAAATAGCAGATCGAACCTATGAAATTCTTCTATTGCAATTCTGATTTTTGGTTTGTATCATTTTTTGCAGGTTTTCACGCGAAAAATCAAACTTCTCAGAAACAATTCACACCAACAAAAACACGCAAACTCGCAAAAAATTAAATTTCTCAGCACCAATTCACACCAACAGAAACACGCAAAATTCAAATAGCCCTCAGAAATTGACACCTACCAAAATATTAGTTCCGTAGTTGACCACCCAAAGCGCTGCGCAACCACCAAAGGGTAGCGCGACCCATAGTAATTTGTCCATCCTACGCGTGGAAACGGAGCAAAACAATGATATTTATTATTTACGAAAAAGTTAAAAACGCGTGATTTTCTTCTTTCCGCAAGTTGAATCGTCCTTCTTGACTCATTAGAAGCTTAAAAAACCTTGGTTGAAAACAATTCATTCATAATTCGGAAAAGTGCGTAAACTGCAAATTTACCCAGGTAAACTGGCTCCCAAAAAATAGTGCACAACCTAATAAAAAGTGCCGAACATTAAAAAAAAGAAGTAAATTATTGCTATAACTCAAAAAACTGATTCACTAGAAAATTTGTAGGTGTATTATAATCTCTCTTCTAGGGTGCCACAACATCCTAGTTGCATCTTTCAATTATCATATCACACTGTAGGAGCTAAAGCGAAAAAAAATCTGCGCTTCAGGCAATCTTCATTGAGCTATGAGAAAAACAAGACAATCATTTTATTTTCTCAGAATCTTATGTAGAGTTTATTTGAAAGCTGTAATACATTACTAAAACGGCCATTTTCTTATTAAACATCTACCATAATTCTTCATACCCAAGTAGCAAGGATCAGGCTACGCTTCTCAGAAAGTCCTGCAGATGGCGTGGCACAGACTTGAACATGTTCGGAGTAGGGTGATGGAGCTAGACAGGATCAGTCGAATAAACAAGGAACGCATGAATCAAAGTCAAGAACGAATGAATCAAGCTCCTCCGCCACCAGGTCCAAAACAGTGATTTTTGAAAGCGACACCAACAATCACAATTTCTGTGAAGCATTTTGCGCCTTTTTGATGTTATCTTGAGTTATACCAATTTGTTCCTTCAAGGTGTTTTAACGCTGAAGCAATTGTTGAAATTGATCAGCGGGTCTGAGGTGCTTGGAAAAACACATCATTAAATGTCACTCATTTTAACTTTTTTTGCCATTTACATCTGAAAGACGATTTGTTAGTTTGTGCTGTTGTGAACTATTTATGCATTTTTAAAAACTCATTTCATTGTGGGGTTTAATGAGTGTAACTTTACGTTATTTATGGAAACAGAATATGATAATTCTAATTTGTATTTATAGTCAAAAGTATAAGGATGAACTGAGGCCCTGGTTTGCACACTGAACACCTTAGTGAAATGATCAGTAGAGCAGTAGGGTGGCCCAAATTTGGCAATGTCAGAATTTTTTTGGTCTTACCCCCTAGAACTGTTCCATTTGATCAAAAAACACTCTCTGCCAAGTTTCAGCCAAATCGGATAATATTAACCCGTGCCGACAGAGCCATCTTTTTTATATGGGATTTTACATTGAAAAACACATTTTTCCAGAATAATCCATTTTTCGAAAAATGTGTAATTTCTAGAAAAAATCTGAGGTCATATTCGGCTTCAGCAGGAAAAATTAAGTGGGAAAACATGTATTAGACACTTCAAAAAAATTTTTTACCCCTCGTTAAAGCGGCGAAACAACTAAAATATCTAGAAAACGCTAAAAAAAGGGTAAAATGACTGTGAAAAATCCCAAATAATTACGTACGTCTGCATCCGAAAACGAAGCTCAACATATGGTAGGTGTTTCCTATGTACTTTTTTACGCTGAGTCGGAAAATGCTATTCATTTTCCTCCATCTTATCAGGATTTTCCGGAAAATCGATTTTCTCGTATGAAAAGAGGGTTTTCCAGGGTAA